TGAAGCGAGTTCATCGCGACGGCACTGTTCAAAACATTCAACTGCGAATTCGAAACAAACTAAAAAAGGTCGTCCTATTTCATAGGATAAACAATGTCCAATGAGGTTAGTTTTTGTTTTTCTAAAACTTTTGTAATCCACCGTTGTTTTAACTTCTTTACGTTCTAAAAGTTCATTTTTTTGACAAGCGCGAAATGACATATCACACCTTGCAATGCCAACGTATAAACAAACATGCACGTTTTAGATCTCGCTCTAACCTTAATTTACGGATTTTACCGCGGAGTTTAGCACATGGATAGTCTTTGTCCTTCTGAAATAACTCCAATCAGCGCTTGAAAACGCTTGATATGACGTTTAAATATACAAACGTAAACGCGATATCGATAATACCGAAAAATATTGATATTCCGATATATCGAAAATTTCAATATCGAGTAATCGGTATTTATAAAAAAAACGATAATTATCGGTATATCGATATACCGCAACAACCTACAGTACTTGCATATCACATTATTCAGAGCTGCCAAGTTCAGATGGTTAGGGGCCATTCACAAAGGATATCCGAACCGAGGGGGGGATTTGGAAAATCAGGACAAACTCGGACATAGGGGGGGAGGGGTTTTTTTAGCAATTGGGATGTCCGAAATTTTAAAAAATTCAAAAACAAATTTCTTTTTCCTCTATTTTGAGCTCTCCTTCCCATTGTGAAATTGGCATTTTGACTACCGGTATGTGGTTAATACTACATTTTGTTTTAATTAGTAATTTATATCTTTTTATATTCACATTTATAGTTATAAAAAAGTTCTAAAAGTAAAAAATGTTTTTTACTGTTGACATATACAAGACTGTGTGAGTTTTTGCAAGGCATGGCGGATGTCCAGGGGGGTCACTAATTCGGACAATGTCGGACAAGGGGGGGGGGAGATTTCCAAGACCCACCGTGAGACCTGGAGGTCAGCGCGAAAACTTGGAGACTCACGGGTAAACCGTGAGACTTGGCAGTTCTGCATTATTGTGCGATAATAAATTATTTGCTTGCATGAATAGGGAGTCCAAGCATTGTGGATTAACACAAGAGTAATATATGTAACAATATTGAATTGATTAAAAACGAATGCTGCATAAGCCTCCTCCCAAAGAAACGTTCAGATATTACTATAAAAAAAGGAAACGCGCGTAAAACAATCACTATTCAGATAACATTAGTCATTAAAATATGTCATTTTTTCTGCAGAACTGAATACTTTAAGGGCAGTGCACTTGTATTCGCTATTGATAAATTCAATCTTCATTTTAACTACGATGTAAATACATGATATTAGAGTAGTCTTTAACGTGAATCATATAGCCGTAAATAATAATTAGTATATTTAACAGGATTCGTTCCTTCTGCTATAAAAATTAAAATACTACTTAACTTTTAAAAATCAACTTTTACTCTTGTGTATACTTGTGTTTAGCTTTGCTCCTGAATGTGTTAATATATCACAATTATTGTAATTACTATTTAGTTTTAACTCCAAATTGGAGGTGACAAACTGAATTTGGTCATCCTAAATCATTGACAACGCTTTTGTCTTTGTTTTTTCGGCTCCTCTAATGTTAGTGATAGAATCTCTAAAAATAATCGAGAATGAACATTACAAAAAAGGAGGAGAGGACAGAGGACTGCAATCTATTTAACAATTAGTCGCCGAAGGCGAGGTGATTACAAGCCTATATTCACTGAGCCGAAGTGAATATAGGCTTGTAATCACCGAGCCTGAGGGGACTAATTGTTTTAGTATAAATTTCCAGGTGTTTACAAACAATAATCCACACAACTTTATAAAAATTCACTTCAAATAAATTTATTTTCACTATAAATAGTTTGTTTACAAAATTTAAATCTCAGACACGGATCTGTGTCGCGTTGCGACTAAGCCAGTTTTTTTCCAAATAAAAGCACGTAAAGTTTAATATTTTACCTTGAAATATTTTTAAATCATATTTTGTAGCTTGTTTGGGTTTTTTCGGAATGCTATCTTCTTCAATTTTGGCAATTTCCTCTTCTGTTACTACGGCAAAACGAGCAGCCATTTTGAAAAAAAAAGCTATAGTCGCTGACCAGTGACTATCACTTCAGAGACAGTGAATCTTGACCAATCAGAATGCAGAAAAATCAATAGTCACCTGGAAATTTATACTAAATACCTTTAGACCTTTCCACATATCTGACGTTGTGTCATTACAGGACATAGGAACACTGCAAAGATGTTTTGGCCTTGATGGCTGCAGCCAAAGGTCCATGCATTGTCATTGTATAAAAGTAGCCATTTTTGTTACAGGATTATACCTACATCGCGAAAATCGAAAACGAATATAAAACGTCTGTCTTCTGGATTGTCTATGGTATACTATATGAAAACACAATGACGTAAACATCCGAATCTGCATTTGATAGCAAAGGCAGACGAACTTTATGCGCATTTTTAAGCGTTTTTAAGTGAATACATATATTTGCTGGGTTGCCTACGGTAAAATTTACTATCTATAATCCTTGTATTCGCGTGACATGCACAATGAATTTGAAATAGGTCTAACTAACAGGTGGGAAATTTGTCTGAGCATGCGCGAGTAAAATGAGCCACGCAATTGCGCGGAATACACGCAACGCGTGTTTACAAAAAGGCAGAATCGTGTAAATATTGCCAAATGTTTGTACAGAATAAATGACTGTTTTATGTTGAAAGAGTGGACATGATCTAAATTAATCATACAGAATTTTTTAGTGACGTTCTATTTCAGTACCCTGACATTGTCTCTGATGGGCTGTCCGTGTGCATTCGATCTGAAACAGTTGCTACTTTGCTGTCGAAGAATTTCGAATGTTTACATGAAAATAGAGGCAAGTCATGCATTTTACAACCTCTCAAACTGTACGAGCCCCTATTTTTACGCTTATACCTAAGACATCAAATAAAAGTACATGAAACAGAGAACATTTGTAGAAAGTTTTATCGTGAGGCCACGGCCAGTTTTTAAAATATCTTTATTTCTGTTCCGGTCATCACCAAAATTACACAAAAGCCGGGCTTGTATATACAACAAATTTTGAATCTCATCAAGCACAAAAATACTTAACGTGTAACCAAAATATGCTCATGAAATCGAAATTAATAGCTACATTTTCAAACTAGACCCCGCTCGAAGCGGTTTTCATGAAGAAAGTTCACATTTCGGCCTTTGATTCTTGGCAAAAATTTGACCACAACACGTGCGAAGCAACTGGGTCTCAAAGACTGAACTAAAACATTGTGAGCCCCTATTTTCCTGACGATATGTTTGATACCTACAAACGCAGAAAAGTTTTTTCTTTTCATTTAGCTATATTTGAAATTGAGGCCACGGGCTATTTTTGAGAAAATACAGTTCAAAGTCAAGCTATTTTTACATATTTTCAAAATTTGTCAAATTTCGCGAGCTTGTATTTTGAACTTAGACAGCTGAAGTTACATTAAGAAACATAAGATGGAAAATTTGAGGCATATAAAGTTAATTTCAACTTACATTTCATTCTCAAATCACGTCTTTCTTCGTTTATGACGGTTTTAAACAAGCCATAGATCGACGTATACGGTATTTACTCCCATGTTCACGTCGCCATATCAACTTCTTCCAATCACGCGATTACAAAACAATCATCCCAAAACAAAGAATTCATGATCGACTTTTAAAAGAATAACCAATAATTTGTAAATCGTTGAATGGAAAGCAAAAAATCGTCAGCTAAAACAGCTTCTTGCTAACTTTCTGCTTTGTTTTGAATGTAAATGCAATGAGCTTTGTTTCTGCCCGCAATTTTTTGGTCAGCGACGACAAATTTCCCACCTGTTGGTCTAACTACATAATTATATGAGTCTGAACCTTTGCCTTTGGGGCCTTTCACAACAAGCTTTTCTAAGCATGTCTTTCCAACTTCATGAAATAGTTTGCCTGCAAGAAAAAAATCCTATTTTTTACAGAAATAACAGTTACTGTAGTACGGGGTAATTACAAGGGTAATTCGCATGCAGTACGTTTAAATCCAAAAATTGACTTCAAAACCTACCAACATTTTCACCAGTTAGACTGGAGGTTTCAAAAATTTTTGCATGAATTTCTAAAAAAAAAATAAAAGATATTATAAACATATTCTTGCGAGTTGCGTGATATTCATTTACGTATACAGTGTGTACAACTATTTCAATTAAGGTTGTCCACGCGAGCAAAGCGGAAAAGTCGAATACGCGAGCGTAGGGATTTCCAGCAACCTTTCGCGCTCGTATTCGACTTTTCCGCTATGCGTAAAAATCTCGCCGCTTGTCAACATCTTGTGT